TAGTGTGTGCATGTACCTGCAGAGGCCAGAAGACACTGGATCCTGTGAAACTGAATTTGCAGATAGTTGTGATATTGTGAGCTGCCAAGTGTATGCTAGGAGCCAAACCCAGGTGCTCTGCCAGAGCATCAAACCCTCCCTTCAGCCCTTTCGTTGTATCTTAGATTCGAGATTTGAGACAGTATTTTTGGGTTTAGGTGTTTGTGGTTTTTTGTTTTGTTTTGTTTTGACCTAAGATTAGAATCTAGGACCTCACACATGCCAGGTAAGCTCTCTATCACTGGCCGTATTTCCTAGCCCTACATGAGCTCTGTAATGGATATCTTCCTCAGCCACCTGGAGACGGTGTCAGGCTGTTTATAACCAGTGAGAGAAGCCATTCTTGTTGGGGATATGCCTGCTCAAAGGCCTTTGTCGATCCTAAGAACCACAGAAGATGTGTGTGACGGCACAGCTATAATCCCAGCATGCAGGAGGATTAGAAACTCGAGTTCATCTTTGGCTACATAGGGAGTTCAAGGCCAGCCTGGGTCAACCTTGTGTCACACACAAAAAAGAAGGGTACATTCTTGACTCTCTTCCCTCCTTCCCTTCCCCAAGCGTGTGGGCCTTGTGGAAGGTCTCTTGTCCTTATCAGTGTCTTTGGGGGCTACTGATGGTGGTACAGGCTGAGAGTAGCCATGAGGAGCAGCAGGATTAAGATTTTTGGAGCTGCCATAGTCCAAGCAAGCAAGCAGTGAGCCAACTGTGGTAGGTGCGGGGATTTACAGAAAATCCTGAGGGATTACAAGCCTGGATGTGGCCTTAGTAGTAGCATGGATGAGGACTTCGTGAGTTTCTGCTGATTGCAAACCCTGTATCCATTCGTGGGAATCGTGGCTGTAAGATGAGCCACCTGGGGCTTGGTTTGCTTTTGTTCATTTGCTTTTGAGACAGGGTCTTTCTGTATCTCAGGAACTCATGATCCTCCTGCCTCAGCTTTGTGAGTACACTCATGTTCTTTTTTCCTCCTGTGTCTGCTCCTCTGTTTCCCTCCTTCCTTCTTCCCTCCCTCCCCCCTTTTTGAGACAGTGTCTCACTGTGCCACAAGCTAGCCTCAAACTCTTGCTCCTCCTCAGCTTTCCAAGTGCTGAGGTTCTGGGCATTGCTGCCACACCTAGCTTAACTAAACAGGCTTTTTATCTGTTTAGTTTTTTTCTGTTATTTCCTTGTGGAAATTGTTGGTCAGACTTAGCCCCCCTGGATTGGCCTTCTGATTGTTTTCATAGTTTTATATTTTTGTTCAAGTATATACCACCATTTCTAGCTTTGCATTGAATTAAAAAAAATTGTAAAATTTACTTCTTGACTCCTGAGACAGTCTCACTATGTACACTGGACAGGAACTTGGTCTCTCAGAGATCATATTGCCCAAGTGCTGAGTTGAAGATGTGAGCTACCATGCTCGGCTGCACTGAAATTGTATTTCACTATCATTTAAATTTGCTAGAGTTCTTTCTGTTCCCTGAATAGTCCTTTAAAAAAAATAGCACTGATAGCTCATCAGTTAAGACAGTGTCTGCTCTTGCAGAAGGACCTGGTTTCAATTCTCAGCACCCACATGGTGGCTCACAGCTGTCTGTATTTCCATAGCGTGTCTGACGCTCTTTTCTAGCATTTGAAGGCACTGCATGCACATGCCATGGATATACACACAGACAAAACATAGACATAAGCAAAAAGAAAATAGCACTATGTTCTTGTTTCTCGGGTGCCCCCCTCAGCTCTAGCTTTCTCCCTCATTGTCTGTGAGTTTCTGTTTTCTGTTCAGTTGTTTAATCTTGTTCTCTGACCTGGAGGGTTTTCGTCAAATGGCTGCACCTATTTGGCTGTGAAAATCTGGGTGGAAACTTCTCTCCATTGCCAGCACTCAGCTGGGAGAGAATGATTCTGTTGAGGGTCCTCAGAATTTAATACCTCAAAATTTCCTTCCCCGCAAACCCCTAGTAGTCCCAGGGTCACTTGGGTTTTCCCGAAAAGCCCTCCCAGGTCTCCTGCCTGTAGACACAGTGTGAGGGCTCCGAGTGTCTGAGCATTCTGTGGGTGCACTTCTAGCCCCGGGTTCTGTGGCCTCTGTTTGATAGCTCACCTGGCTGTTAATGTCTGGTTGCTGGGTTGGGATGGAAGCTGGGAGTCTTTAACTGCCCTGTACAGGGTGGAACAGCCCTGAATTCAGCTCTGCCTCTTGCCTGTCCTCCAAGGTACTCTGCTCCTCTGTTCCCCAAGCTGTCCCCCTCCTCTCCTCTGGTGGGCTTGTTTTCAGTGGTGTTGTGGGCTCTTGGTATTTGGTCTTCTAATCTCATCTGCTAATGTTTCCTTCCACTTTAATTTTCCGTAAGTGTGTTGACAAGTCTTAATGGCTGTCATTTCCCTCCTCTGTTCTTGAGAGTTTAATTTACTTTACTTGGCTGAAAGCTTATTTTATTATTATTTTATTTGCAATATTGGCTATCAAACAAAGGGCTCCCACATGCTAGGCAAACCCTGCCACTAAGCTACACTGCTAGCCCTTTTCTATCCTTTGAGACTAGGTTCCCAAGGGGGCTTCTTAGCCTTTTGCCTTGGGCATCCGAAAAGCTGGGCTTATGGGCATGTACCACTGCACCCCGTTTGAATACGAATGTGATTTATTTTTACATTTTTGTTTATTTGTCGTGTGTGCGCATGCACTGCACGTATGTGGCAGCTTGAGGGAGTCAGTTCTCTCTTCCTACATCAGATTCCAGGGACTGAACTCTAGGTGTAGTGGCAAGTGCCTTTACCTGCTGAGCCATCCTGCCAGCCCAGAGAATGTGTATTTTGATCAGAAGTGTAGGCTATTATATATTTATGTTTATCACATTTAGAATTAATTCTGGCATCTGTATTTTTCCAGTGTTGGAAATTGAACCAGGGCCTCTACTACTGAGCTTATGCCCTAACCCTCTCCCCCTCCTTTTTATTTACTAGATACAGCCTTGTGTATCCTGGGATGGCCTTGAACTCTATATCATTATTGCCCAAAGTGCCTTGAATTTCTGATCTTCTGTCTCCACCTCCTGAGTGAAGGATTATAGATGTGTGCTACCATGCCTGGCTTTATGCCATGTGGGGATCAAACTTAGGACTCGGTGCCAGTTAGACAAGCGCTCTACCAACTGAGCTACATCCCAGCCCTTCATAGAGTCTCACTACTATGTAGCCCAGGCTGACCTTGAACTCATATTCCTCTTGACTTTCCCTTTTAGGTGCTGAGATTGCAGGCACGTGTCCCCACAGGTGGCCATTTCTGTTGTTTTATTTAGTACTTTCTACCTCTTATGTCTTCTCTTTGCTGCTTTTCCTTTTCTGTCCTTTATTATGTAGACTGCATTTTCTTCTCCTAGTTGGGAAGTTATGCATGATTGAGTTCATTATCATTCTTCTCCTGTGTAACTAATTAAGCCCACACTTGACCTCATTATCTTGTGTCCTGAAGACCCTTAGCACAGTCTCCCCCTTCCCTTGCTCTCCCTGCCTTGGTGGATCTGGACCACGGCTGGTTTCTGTGGAGAGACGGGCAGCCCTGCTTATTTGCCATTGTCTAGAACTGGCAAGACTGTTCCTGGGTGTCTTAGAGAGGCCTTCGACTCTCAGTGATGATTTGCTTTAAGGGATATCTGAAGATATCCCAAAGGTTTTTTGTGGGGCTAGGGATGATTGGTAGGAGAAGTGAGACAGAATGGACAGGTCAGTAATTCTTGGAACCCAGACCTGCAGCTACTCCTCAGTTTTCCCTCCGAGACGTCAGCTTCTGACTCCAGCTTTGTTCTCTAGAGTTGTACACAGTATGGTGCCCCCTGCCCTGTGTGATAGGAAGGAGTGGCGACTGATTGTGTGCAGAGGCAGCCTTGAGCCCATCACCAAGTTCTTATCAAGCAGGAATGTGAATCCGAGAGCTTTCAGTATTTGTTCTTTTTTTTTGTTTTGTTTTGTTTTGTTTTTTTGAGACAGGGTTTCTCTGTGGTTTTGGAGCCTGTCCTGGAACTAGCTCTTTTAGACCAGGCTGGTCTCGAACTCAGAGATCCGCCTGCCTCTGCCTTCCGAGTGCAGGGATTAAAGCCGTGCGCCACCACCGCCCTGCTGCTTTCAGTATTTCTATGGCAGGCAGGAAACTGAGTTTCCTGTGTGAAATCTTCCATTTGTACATTGGGTGAAACTGCTTATAACCCTGTCCAGGTGTCATGGCCGACTCTGGTCAGACACTTGTGGCCTTTGCACAAAGCCCTGGTTGTCAGTGATGCTTTCTGTCACCCTGTCCTAGCCGTCTTCCTGGATGAATGTCCTTTCCTGACTCTGGTTTCTCCTAAGGTGTGACTTTCCACTCCCTTCCTCACCCAGTGAAACTTCCTGTTTGTATCAGTGCATTCCCAGTGATTGACAAGGTGAAGACACACCCATTCTCCCCCACAGGAGGGCACAGACTTTATTTTCCCAGAACCTATCTGTAACCTGAGGCCCTTTCCCATACCAGGCCTTGTTCCTGAAGTAGGCGAGGGGACTGTGCTCTCACTGGAGCGTGGATGCTGACATAGCGTGCACACGCCAGCTGTCAGTGCCTTGCCTGCAGCAAGCAAGCTGTTGGCATCGGGCTTGGTCTGTGTCTCCTTGGTTGATCTCTCCTGCCTGTGGTAGGCTTGAGTATTCTCCCATCATCTGCCTCCCACTGCCTCTGGCCCCTACTGCCTGAGTGGCAGTGGCTGCGGCTTTATATACTCAAGGCAGTTGGTGACTCATATCTCAGCAGCCCCTTAAATAGGGAAGTGAAATGTGTATACCTGGCAGGGCCTGACCTTTGAGTGACAGCGGAAGTAGCTGTGTAAACATTGCTAAGGGGAAGTCTTGTTCACCACCAGGCTAAGGAGAGCATCCGCCTGCACTCGCCCTCTTGTGGCCTCTATGCCTGTGACTCTAGTAACTTTTTTTCTTTCTCTTCTCCCTAGCTGGAAGTCACAGTGGTAACCACTGAGAGAGCCAAACATTTCTATAGCCCCCAGGATGTTCCTGTCACCCTCTACAGTGATGCTGACGAATGGGAGGTCAGTGCTGGGCCCATTGCTTTTCTTCCAGGAGGACAGAGCTATCTTCCTTCCAGCCTATGGTCCTGGCTGCTGGAGCACAGTCTGGGCTCAAGTCAGTGGTCAGGGCCATCTGGGTAGAGGCAATGAGGAAAACATCTGTCTGGTTTCTGGCCTGCAGGAGGCCTGTAGTCCCGCCTTCCTCAGGCCGAGCTCAGCTTTGGCCCAGTGCCTGGGGTTGAGTGTCCTTGTACTTATCTGGGCTGATGAAACCACAGAGGAGCTCTGTTCCCACCACCCTTGTCCATGTGGCTCTCAGTGTCAAGGCTATCCAGAGTGCTTCACTTCCCACGGCCGCTGGCCATGCCTCTGCCCTCCTGCAGAGGGGTGGGCACCAGCTGATTTGCCAGGCGCGCAGTGTGGGCCTCATAGGGCTGCCCTGCCAGGCATTTTAAAACATTCCCAGCCTTGAACATTTCTGGCTGGCTTGCCCTCCCGTCCTCCCCTCCCCCCTTCATTTCTCATCGCCCCAGAGCCCTACTGGCTTGGACAACTCAAGCATCCGCCTCAAGCAGACAGGCCAGGAGTTCCCTGCCAGATGTCAGTTCTCTTGAAAACCAAACCATAAAGGGAATAAGCTCAGAGAGACAAGGAGCGTTTGTTTCCTCAGGCCTGGTTTCTGTCAAATTGCTGGTTCCATGGCCAATGCTTGCCAGCTTGACTGTGAGAGGGGACAGTGGAAAACTTTGAGGGAGAGCTAGGTGGTTTCCTTGGGTTTCTCTACTTATTGTACCTGGCCTATTTGGCCATCATCCCCTCCCCACACACACACACTGAGAGTGACTGGGTTGATGGCCCCCATTGCTTTCTTTTGGCAGATGTGGAAGCGCCGCTCTGACCCAGTTCTCCACATTGACCTGCGAAGGTGGGCTGACCTCATGCTGGTGGCTCCCCTTGATGCCAACACTCTGGGGAAGGTGGCCAGTGGCATCTGTGACAACTTACTTGTGAGTGACTCCCAGTGTCTTTCCTCCCCAGCCTTGCTCCCAGTTTGCTGAGTGGCAGATCTCACTACAGAAGTAAATCTGTTATTATTGGGTGCAGGTCTGTTGAGTAGCCCCTGCCCTGGGCCTTTAGCACAGAGGCTGCAGGGCTGGGCCCGATGGATCGTCTGACTTTGCCAGTGCTATCTGGGGCTGTCCACCTCTCTCCTGCCCTCAGTGGTCAGCCCCCTGCTCTCCCATCTTCCCTCACCATAGGCTGCCCTCCGCATGCACCTCCATTGGTTTCCATCTGTTCTGCCTTCCCCCCAGAGTCTAGAAACACTGTACACTCTACTAAGAGTGTCTGCTTCCTCGTGCATCTCACATGCTTATTTCTCTAGAGTCATTTGAGCCCCAAATCTAAAACCCAATTCTCACGTCTATCAGAGAAAGCTTGGAAAGAAACGGGAAAAAAAGGTGAGAAGCGATTGCCAGGTTGGCTTTTGCCGTGAGACTTCTTGGGAGCCGCTCCCTTAGAAAGCATCTGCCTTTCTTTACGTGATCATCCTGAGGTCTTATGGTCAACTCCTCCCTGCATTTCTTGACCTTTCACCTCCCATGTTCTGGGAGTTTATACTGAGGTCTGAGAGAGACTTGTGATCACCCATGTAGGCAGGAGGAGTACTCCATGTTGACTGCTGTAGTCTTAAAAGACCCCATTAGTTTGTGGAGTGTGCTTGGTGTTGGGCATTAAGTAGGCATTTACTAATACTACTTGTATGTGGTGGGAGGTAATTTTTCATAAATATTTTTGTTTGAATTTATTTGTGCGTGTGTGCGTGTGTGAGAGAGAATACAGACTTGTCTCAAACTTTTGGTAGTCCTCTGCCTCTGCCTTCTGAATACTGGGATTACAGGTGTGTATTACTACACTCAGCTTGGTTTTAGAGTTGAAAATGGTGAAGAAGGGAATATTGGAGATACATCAGGAGCTTTAGAAGGTCACATATGAAATTAATATCCTCTCATCTGGGCCTGGTGGCATAAGCCTGTGTAGTCCTGGCAGTTTAAGAGGCTGAGGCAGGAAGATCAAAAATTCAAGGCCTGTGTGGGCTTCAGAACAACTCTCTAAGTAGAAAGTGAAAAGAGGGCTGGAGACGTAGCTCAGTGGCAGAATGCTTGTGTATTGAGTGTGAAACCTCACGTTTACTCAGCCCCTGTCTGCTTATTAGGAGCTTTTCAGCTTCTCTTCCGGGAAGCTGCTGGTGACTTATGAACGTAGGATGGGAGGAACACCAGGCTGATGCTGTGGCTGGGAGCAGTCTGGGTAGACAGAGAAGCAGAGCCAGGTACAGTAGGTCCTTGCTGCCCAGAAGGACTGGGACTGGGCAGCAGGGCACTAAAACAGGTGAGGGAGTTGCTCGGCCATGTACCCCAAATCCCTGGACTTTCATTGGCAGGTTAGCAGCAGCTGATGTGGTAGAACATACCAACCTCAGAGCTGAACCCCAGCCAGCTCTCTTAGGGCTTTTCCTACCTCTGAAACTCAGGTCTCCCCTCCTTTTTGTTGTTGTTGTTAGCATTATTGTTATTATATGCCAAGCTTTTTTTTTTTTTTCAAATATAGCCGGTAGCTGAGCTGGAGAGATGATTCAGTGGTTAAGAGAACTAGATGTTCTTCCAGAGGATCCAGGTTTGATTCCCAGCACCCACATGGTGATTCACAACTGTCTGTAACAATCTGAGACCTTCTTTTGGCCTTCATGGTCAGCAGGCACACATGTAATGTACAAACATACATGCAAGTCAAAATACCCACATACATATAAAACAAATATAATCTCACATAGCCCACTGGCCTTGAAATCCCGATCATCTTGCTTTCCCCTCCTAAGTGAGGGCCTGGCTCCTACTCCCTATCTTTGAGGTTCTCTTCTTCGGGATTGGCTGAACAGTGGAGCATGTCTCCAAACTAACCATTCTCCTCAAACAGCTTCACCTGAACACAGATGTTTCAGACAATGTCTGGTGTTACGGTTTGAACTGTAAGCATCCTTGGTTGTGGGGCTACCTTCTGCTCAGTGGGTATCTTCTTAGAATCCTGAAAGGAAGCTCAGCCTGCTTCCTCTTTCCAAACTGCCTGTCTCCATTGGAAAGGTGCTGGAGAGCAGCTTCCTGTTAACGTCATTCTGCAGTCCTGCTCTCTCTCTCTCTCTCTCTCTCTCTCTCTCTCTCTCTCTCTCTCTCTCTCTCTGCTCTGGCCTCTCCTCTGCTGAGCTGTCAGATCCAGAAAGAGGAGGTGATTCCCCAGGCTTGACAGTCTGGCTCAGTGCAAGTCTCTTGACTAGGATCCAGCCTTCTGCCCTGCCTGAACAGGTTCCCAAGGGCAAGGCTGAGGCACTGAGTGCGGTGCCAGCCACGGCTGTGGGAACCAGTGTCCTCCTCTCCCTTCGTACGCTAGTTGCTTTAGAGGAGCTGTGGTTTGTCCAGGACGCATTGAGCTCCCTGTCAGACACTGGGGAAGCAGTCCTGTCAGAGAAGGTCAGGGTTCTGGCTGTGGGTGGTGTGCTCTACTTTGAGAGTGCTTAGAACCCAGCCCAGTCCCATCCCCACCCTGACACCATCAAGGGCCTCCTCTGGGTTTACAGAAGCTGCAGGTGGCACAGAGCCAAGAGGAAGTGTGACTGGAATTGTCCACTCATAGCCAGGTTGTCGTATTGAGAGCAGTTGGTGGGAAACCAACTCTGGTGTCTGGGATGACGCAAGCAGCCAGATTCTGAGGCTATTTTTTTTTTGTCCCAGGAGAGGGTAACGGCACTGAGGGACAGGCACTGGCTCTGGTCTGTATGTTGCATTGTTCTCTGCTCCCTCCTTCTTTCCCCAAAGGACTTTATTTCTGGGAATGGGTGTCACAATTACTGTCTCCCCAGGAGCTTTCAGGAGGAGGTGCCTGATGTGGTCGGAGCACAGGAGCTATTTCTTTGGGAGGTGGTCCCTGACCTCCTGAGGCTGTGCCTTTGTTGTAGAGCCGAAACTTAGCGCTAGGCCCTCAACTAAGAACTTTGAAAGCTTTCACACTTCCGCTAGGATCTGGGGTACCCACCTCTAATCCCACCACCTAGGAAAACAGGAGACCAAGAGTTCAAGGTCATCTGTTACATAGCCAGTTCAGAGGCCAACCTGAACTACGCGAGGCTCTGCCTCAAAACATCACTGCCAATACTGCATAGCCATCAAAAGCATTCACGTTCTGTTTTAGCTTTATATTTATTTATTTAGACAGGGTTTCTCTAGCCTTTCTGGCCTGGAACTTGCTGTACCTAAATGTAACCTTGGGCAACTGTTTATCAGTCAGGGAGTTGCAGCTTGCTCCTCTGTGAACAGGGACAGGACTTTCCTTATAGGGTTACAGAAAGGATTCTTGAGATATTGGGTGAGAAAAGGTACCACGTGTTGGATGTTTTCATTCTCAGGGTTTATTTGACCTAGAAGTAGAGCTGTTGTTGAGGAGAGCACGAACAATCTGGTTCCTGGCCTTCCAGTGAATAGTGAAGCTAGCCTCCTGCCCCTAGGATTGCTTCCCAGCCCTGCAGTTGTGAGCTTGGGTAAAGGCTTAGACTGGTGGGCAAGGAGATTGCATACAGAGTGGAGATCTGTTGGAGGTATCGGGGGCATTGTGGGTGCTGACTGAGTATCTCCTGTGTCCAGGACTATGCCAGAGCCTGAAGGGAAATAATGTGGACTAAAGAGACAGCCCCTCCCCGCTTAAGGATGCAAGAACAGATCTGTGTAGGTGTGTGACACAGCCATCCCTAGTCAACAGCTGTTTTGCTGACTGAGGCTGGAGGACAGTAGGAGACTCAGGGTACTGAGGAAGGGTGGTAGGCAGAGCGTTCCCCTCTTCTTCACAGACCTGTGTCATCCGGGCCTGGGACCTCAGCAAGCCTCTACTCTTCTGCCCCGCCATGAACACCGCCATGTGGGAGCACCCTCTCACCGCACAGCAGGTGGGCCAGCTCAAGGCCTTCGGCTATGTGGAGATTCCCTGTGTGAGCAAGAAGCTGGTGTGTGGAGACCAAGGTGGGTTTGTTGCCTTACTCAGCCCAGAGCTATAGAAGGGGCCCTGCTTTGGGGTCACCTTTAGGTTCTATGGTTCAGTGGTTCTCTGGCCCTTATGACCTTGGATAGAACCATTTTTTTTTAGCTCAGCTCTCATCTGGTAATGGACAGAGTGCTAATTCTTGCTTCTCAGGTTCATTAGACTGGAGGAGACAGATGTGTGGAGTGTTGGTAGAGTTCCTCATAGTAGAACAGCACTGCTGTTGGAGTGACCCCAGGGCCTGTCCTGGGATAACTGGGAAGCGGTATGGTGGAGCTGGGCTTGGGCTTCCCAGGCCTAGGATGTGGGTGAAGTGCACAGGGGAGATCTGAGTAGCAGCCACAGGCACAGATGAACTTTGCTTCCAGGTCTAGGAGCCATGGCCGAGGTGGAGACCATTGTGGGGAAAGTGAAAGAAGTACTCTTCCAGAGCGGGGGCATCCAGCGGAGTTGAACTGGGGTTTCTGTCCTGGTGTCTGTGCACCCAGTGAATTCAGCCTGAGCTGCTGAAGAGGGAAATCACCACAGCACGAAGAGCCTGTGTTCGTGAGGAGGGGCTGGCATGCACCTTCTCAGAGCTCCCTGGGGACCGACCTTCTCCAAGTTAAACAGAACTACAGACCCAGGGCCTACCTTCTTCCAACCAGGATTTGCCTGCTTTCCTGGGGCCCTCCCGTGTCTTCCTGGGATAGGCCCTGAAAGCTGAAGCTGGGCAATCATGTTACTACTGGAAGAATAATCAGATGATTGAGAACCTCCTGCTTAGAAATGCTTTCCGGAACACGATGGCTGACGCTGGGCATGGTGGCTCATGTCTATAATCTTAACACTCAGAAGGCTGAGGCAGGATTGCCACAGCTTTGAAATTGGCTTGGGCTACAGAATGAGCCAGGCCCGTGAGTGTGACAGCCTATTTCAAAACAAAAATAACAAGAAGAAACACCATAGCTCAAGATCCCTGGCACAGCAGGCTCCTGATCGGGCCTTGGAAGCTTCCATTCTTTGGTGCTCCGGTGTCACACAGAATCAGGAAGTCTGTGAGGTGGCAAGACTCTTCACATTTCTCACAGACTGTACTGGGAGTCGGGGCAGGGACGGTTCTGGGAAATAAAAGTGACCTTAGGAGACTCTGTCCTTCTTTACATCCTGTCTGTGGCCTCAGAGGTGGAGGACATGGCCAAGTGAGGCCAGAGAAGGTTCTGGGCTCGCCAATGACTAACACTCCCACATCCCTCTGCAAGGTCAGAGTTCCTGAAGCGCAGCTTGGGTTCAGGTGACCAGCTGTGGACCAGCTGTGGGCCTAGACTGGTCCTCACTTTCCCATCCATGTGGTCATTCTTCCACAATGGAACAGTTGACAGGATCAAGTGAGGTATATGTGAAAAGTACGTCGTCTTATATGCCCACAGGGGTACATTGTCTCATATACCCACAGGGGTACATTGTCTCGTATACCCACAGGGGGTACATTGTCTCATATACCCACAGGGGTACATTGTCTCATATACCCACAGGGGGTACATTGCATGAATCCTAGCAGATTCCTGAAGCCGTGGTACAGAACACATATGACGTCTCCCTATACATATATAACCTGTGACAAATTCTAATCCATAAATTAGACCCAGTAAGAGATTAGCAACAATAACAATATAGAACAGTTATTTACTTTGTTCTGTAATAAACTTTTCCATACTGAAAAAAAAAAAAGATTAATAATGTAATAGGGGCTGGCAAGATGGCTCAGTTCATAAAGGTGCTTGCCACCAAGCTCATTACTTGAATTTGATCCCTGAGACTCACATGACGGAAAGTGAGACCAGCTTCTGAAAGTTGTCCTCTGGCCTCCACTCTCACACTGTGGCACATGTACTATTTGCACATGCACACACACACTATAAGTATAATAAAAAATTTTAAATACTATTATAAAACCTGTGTGAACATGGCCTCTTAGCAACTTCAACATACAATTTTAAGATTGTATTAAGTCAAAAACTTAGACTTTGTTGTTGTTGTTGTTTTTAGACAGGGGTTCTCATTTTTCTTTGTAGCCCTGGTTGTCCTGGAACTCACTGTAGTAACACTACAGTAGTGATCTGGTAGCACAGCTGTGGTAGCTGGTTGGCAGTCGTATACCACGTGGACACCCTGGACTAAATGAATCCTGTCTGGTTGGGATGGCACAGGAGGTGTAATTGTCAGATAAATGAGCATTGAAACTGTGTGCACATCTCAGAAGTGCACACATGTGACAGGAACTTCCCTAATGGTTGCTGAAATAGTCCTTCTCATGTTTGGGGAAGTAAGACCCAAAGCCTAAACTGGCATGGCCCTTTATGAAGGTGACAGGTAAGCCATCAGCAGGGTCGCAGCCTTTCCTGAATTCCACACCCCTCCCTTGCCTCCTGCTCTACATGTTGGCCCTCTGGTTCCCGTCCTTTTAACTTGTTGCACTTGCCTGGAGATGCCTGCTCCCATTCTAGTACACATGGCGTGGAGGACTAGTCTCAAGAGAGACATTGGCCTAGAAACCTCTTGCTGTCTCACTTTTGACCTAGTAACTCTGATGTGGCTATTGTGAGGCCCTCTGTGTATTTGCAGCTGGAGTGGGGACTGCTTTCTACTCTGGCTCCTAGACTAAGCAGTGTAGGCATCCCATGGATGTCCTGAAAGTATTGTGGGTACAGGTGGTGATGTACCAGAACCATGGTCTCCAGAAACCTCCAAGAGCCCTTCTATCTTGAATTAATAAGTGACCTTTTGGGATATGTAGTAAAGAAGCCACTTGTTTGGTTCCCGGCCACCCGGCTAGCTTAGACCTGAAATAATCACACAGAAACTATAGTTAAAACACTGCTTGTCCCATTAGCTCTAGCTTCTTATTGGCTAACTCTTACATACTAATTTAACCCATTTCTCTTAATCTGTGCATTACCACGAGGTCGTGGCCTACCAGCAAAGTTTCAGCACGTCTATCTCTGGCGCCTCCATAGTGTCTTACTGACTCTACCCTTCGTTCTCTTTAGTTTTCCCTGCCTAGCTCTGTTCTTTTGCCCTATCACAGGCCAAGACAGTTTCTTTATTCATTAACCAATAAAAGCAAGGATAAAATTGTCTTAGGGCAGTAAAGAAAATGTAACCTAAATCGTAGGATTAAGGATGTCTCTCTGATCATGCCAATGCATTGGATACATGGAAAGTCCAAGTTCACACTTGCATAAGAATAAAGGCTTTTTGCTTTTCCATATGAGAAAAAGTAATGAATTTTAGGGTCAACAGGATGGCTCAGTGGGTAAAAGGTGCCTACCACTATACCTGATAACCTGAGTTCGATACCTGGGACCCACAGGGTGGAAGGAGAGAACCAGTTTCGAGGAGTTGTCCTCTGACTTCCACTTGGGCATACTGACATGCAAGTCCACATACATACATAAAAAAAACCCAAGGAAATATTAAAAAAGAGAAAAACCAACTTCACCATCCCGGGATGTAGTAGTGGAAGAGAGCTTGCTGCCTAGCGTGTGCATGGCCACTGATGGTAAACGAAACCAGAAACTTCTCAACATCAAGCTTGAGGCCTGTCTAAGCTACAGTGTGTGCACCATGCCAGCCTCCCCCTACCCCCAAAAGCCATGTGACAGGTTTCAGAATCGTAATGTGGGGAGCAAAGCCTACAACACCAAATTCCAAGAGATCTTTATGTAGTTTCCAACTTCCTCCCTCCTCTCATCTCACCCTTTATTTACCTCAGAACCCTGCTCATGGGTGATAAGACCAATTTTAAGAGAAACTCCTGTCTGCTCTGTGCTTGCTGTAAGTTTCTATGCTAGGCACTTTAGGGAAAGTAGTTCCTAGAAGTGGCCTCTGGTTACCTCTAGTGTAGGGTGTGTAGGAGACAGCTAAGTGACAAATGCCTTTCTAATAGAAGTGGCCACAGATGAGCTGGATCTTAGAGGTTCTATTGCTGTGATAAACACAACCAAACACAGTGTGGCAAGGGGAGGGTTTAACCTGGTTTATAGTCAATCACTGAAGGAGGTCAGAGCAGAAACTCAGGCAGGAATCTGGAGGGCCAGAACTGAAGCCTAAGAATGCTGCTCACTGGCTTCCTCCTGGCTTGCTCAACCTGCTTTCTTAGGGCACCACCCCCAGTAAGCTGGGCCCTTCTACATCAATCGTCAGTCAAGATGCACTAAAGATTCATCACAGGCCAATAAGGAGGGTCAGTTTCTCAGGGCCCCTCTTCCCAAATGACTCTAGGTTTGTGTCAAGTTGACATAAAAGCCAGCACAAACTTCAAAATGCTATGGGAGAGCCAGGCATGGTGGCACATGCCTCTAATACCAGAACTCAGGAGGCAGAGGTAGGCAGATCCTTTGAGTTCCAGGCCAGCCAGGGCTACACAGTAAGACCCTGTCTCAAATAACAATGATGGGAGGCCAGGGACGGTGACTCATGCCATCAATCCCAGCTCTCCCGAGGCACAGGCAGGCATATGGCAGTTCCTGTCCAGCCAGAGCTTCAGAAGCCAAGAGCAGAGAACTTCAAAGCACCTTGTCCTGTCACTCTGAAAGCCATGACTCATCCTTGGCTAAAGGGAAAAGCTGTCCCCGTGGACAGTAGGCAGCTAGAGGTCCCAGCCCTGGTTGGCTACTCCTACTCTGACGCAGGGCAGCCCTACATGTCTGAGTCAACTAAGAAAGGCAGAACATGTATTGGACGGGGTCCTGTAGTAAGAGCTGCAGGTTGCATTCCTACCGCCCTGCTCCCAGCCACCTGGCTAGCTTATGCCCCGAAATAACACACAAACTGTATTCATTTAAACACTGCCTGGCCCATTTCTATTAATGTGTGTAGCACTGAGGCACGCTTACCGGGAAGATTCTAGCCTACATCCATCCTGGGTCGGAGCTTCATTGCGTCTGCCTGGGAGAGGGGAGCATGGCATCTGAGCTCACTTCCTCTTCCTCCCAGCATTCTGTTCTGTTTACTCCAACCACCTATGTTCTAACCCATCAGGGCCAAGGAGTTTCTTTATTAATTAACCAATGACCTTCCTCCATCAGGGTCCTGTGGTGGTTGTGACAAGGACAGCTCCTACCACTGAGGCTCTGTCGACTTTTTGAAATCAACTTGGGTAGAAATGTTCATCAGGAATTTTCTCGTCTCCTAATATGTTAGAATTCTGCAAGTGCGGCAGAACAAAATATTTGGGTTTGAAATATGCGATTTTGCTTGGGAGCCTCCCTTGCATCTTTCTCGGCTGCTGTAGCTGCTGCTGGTCAAGAGGCTGAAGCCTCTATGCTGGGCTGCTCCGCACAACTCACCCGGCTCTTAAGCTGCTGACTCACTGCCTCGAGGTTGGGGTGAAGCTGCTTGGACTGGAAGACATTTGTGTCCTGGCTGCCTCCTCCATGTGCTGCCCCATCTGGGTCACCTTTGCAATGCCTTCTCTGGCCCACTTGGGCTGGTTCTTGTGTCCCCTATTTATTACAACACAGAATTGTAATTGTCTATTTTTTTTTCTGTTTTTGTTTTTGTTTTCAAGACAGGGTTTCTCTGTGTAGCCCTGGCTGTCCTGGAACTCACTTTGTAGACCAGGCTGGCCTTGAACTCATAGAGATCTGTTGGTGGAAGGCTGCTTGTTTGTTCCCGGATGCTCAGCCCCAAAATAACCACACAGAAATTATATTAATTGCAATACTATTTGGCCAATAGCTTAAGTGTATTGCTAACTAGCTCTTATATCTTTGGTTAACTCATTTCTATTAATATGTGTATTGCCACATAGCTTACTGGCAAAGTTCCAGCGTGTCTGTCTCTGGCGGTGGCTACATGGCTTCTCCCTTACTCTGCCTACTTTCTCCCAGCATTCAGTTTAGTTTTCCTACCTAGCTCTATTCTACCCTATCACAGGCCAAAGCAGTTTCTTTATTCATTAACCAATAAAAGCAACACATATACAGAAGGATCTCCCACACCACAGATCCACCTGCCTCTGCCTCCCAAGTGCTAGAATTAAAGGTGTATGCTTCACTGCCTGCTGTCTATTTTCTTTGTTTCCCTGTGGCATTGATTGGGCTCTCTTGTAGAGTAGCAGTTGTCTTGTGCCTTTCAGAACCCA